AACTAGGAAAATGGACGTAATCAAAGCAAATTTACATGTAGAATAAGGGCCAAGGACACAAAATGGTCAAATCTGAATCACATTTACATTTAGGTTCCATATGTAGACAGCTCAGTTAAAAACCCCATGAGGCAATCATTAGGACTAACAAATTATTCAACAATGTTTAAACAACAGACGATAGCATCTCACAAGCTGTTTGCAATCCTAATACTTCATATGTGCTTATTGTTCTTACAGCACTGGTACTGCTTGTCTTTACAAATTAATGATCAGTATAGTCCTAAGGACATTATATGCAGCAAAGCTGAAAACTGAATTTATTTTCCTCCTTTTGTCATCTTATTTTTTACTTCGCTGTAAGATTGCCAGCACAGAAAGCAGCAGTGATGCATTTCAGCACAGCTGGCTTTAAAGGTTCTGTGAAATGTACAGGCACCAGGGGCTCGGCGCACGATGCTCCCAGACTTCGGAAATTATGGCAGGCAAATCTCTATAGATTTGTCTGCACACCCCCACTGGGAATTTGCCCCTCTCTGAACCAAGACAGTTCACTGAAGGCTGCCTAGCCCACTTTCTGCACCTGGCTGAGTGATTGACCAGAAGCTCGACGGGGTCATGGAAGCTTTATTCCCTTTGTTCCATGGGTGTCTGCCATGGAGAGCCAAGCTTGGATTAACTGAGCCTAAATCCCTGGGCAGCTTGCCAGAGCAATGCTAGCTCTGAAGCAAACGTAGCTCCAAGATGGTTTCAAGACTGGCTTTATAGATCAGTTCTTCTTAGGTGCAAATCCATGGGCATTGAGCATAATGCCTCATGTCAGGGCCCTGGGGAGTCTTTCCCCACAGGCAGCAGTTGCCAGCTCATGTGGGAGCAATGTGAGCGCTGACAGTGCCATTTCTTTTGGGCCAGCCCTTCCCCAGCAGTGTTCCCTGGCCAGTGATGCAGACATCCTTTCACTGGACACTGCCACATTCCAGCAACATGCGTGGACACGTTTCATAACATGCTGCCCACACAGCATCTGCGTGTTCCTTGTTGTGGCATCAAGTATTTTGATGTATTAGCTTTCAGGTCACTGTCATTTGGAGCAATATAAGAAAAAAGCTATTTTTCAACATCTTTCAATAGCTGATCCAAAGGCAAGGTGCATTAAGCCTTGCAGGAACCAACAACTCCCAAGAACACGTCTCCTGCAAGTCTCCTCCTTACCCCAGGAGTTAGAGGTTGTCTTCTGCTCCAAAGTGGGGTTACTTTTTTTCCAGCCCTCTTTTGGGCAGGGAGAGAAGAGGACTTTCAGCTTAGTTCCTGTGGAAACAAGGTTAATGTTCTCATGCTGTGTTTGTTTTGCCTCCCCCTAATAACTTTTGAACACATCGGCCTTGTTCAACTCATCTTGACAGAAGGATAGAGGTCTAGAAAATAATTAAAATCTTATAAATTTTGTGAAAATAGGCACTGATGTAGAAGAGAGAGGGGCCTGGTATCAACATCCTCACCAAAGAAAGGCTGTACATGAATGCACATCTCACTGGGCATCAGCAGAATGACACAGAAAACAAACCTGCAACCACAAAAGAAAATCTTCAGCTGAAATTTACACTTAGACTTCCTAGTCAGACCACAGACGCGACCAAAAAAGCCACAGTTCACAGAAGTCCTTGCTAGTTTCAAACTAAACTCAACACCTTTTGGCTATTCCATGGGATCGAAAATTTCTTGGGACATAGCTAAATGTCACCTCCACATCACACTGATGTAACAACTCGCTGCCTTCATTACAGCTGCCTCTGCTCAGGGAACCCAGGATGCAAAACATTACACAAGCTATTTCAAAAGAAATTGGAGGGCATTTCAAAGGCCTTTGCTCTGTGTGCAGGAACACTGTGTTGTGTGTGTGCAGCAGGTAAAGAGATTCATATCACTGAAGTGGAAAGAAATACCTCTAATTGTTGTGGCTTGAAAACACAAGTGGCAAGCGAGAGTATTTTAAGCCAATGATTCGAAAACAGAAATGGGAAGCAGAAACTTGTGAATTCAAATGGCTCCGTGGCTCTGTGATCATGAGGAAACCAATGCTGGACAACTGAGTTCAGCTTCCATTGCAAGACCATGGAAAGGCATCTTTACTATACATTTTTAACTTCCAAAGGCTTACATTGACCTGCATGGACTGAGCAGTTCCACTGCATGCAATAGCCCAACTCCTGTGCATAAATCAAGTGCACAAGTACATTTTCATGAGAGCTGCATCAAACTTTCAAATCACCACCCCAACAGTAAAATGAGAACAGTAAAACACATCAGCAGGGTACATGAGAATTATCTTAAAACTGTTTTTACCTTTTCTCATTTAAGCTCACAGAGAACAAAATCTTCCTGTATTTTACTTTTTCATTTTTCAAACAGTAGTTTGTTTCTTTCCCAGACCTTTTCAGCTCAGCATTCTGGACTATTTCCACCTTTCTCAGAACTGATGGGTGTTAAATCAGCCCAGAGGTGTCTGCTAGCAACAAACCCCCTTAACTTGCTGTACTAAAATGTCTGTTTAAACCACCAACATACAAAAATTTCCGCCTCAGCTAGTATTCTAGCATAGCACTGGCCCACTCTGTTATTTGAAATGAACCTGCTTTAAAATAGAAGAGTGAAAATGAGTGATGGCTGGGCTTCTGATCTTTTGTAAGGAATCTAAAAGTCAGCCTCCTCTAACTGTCAGTTTGGCAGAGGCACTTCCAATCTGAAACTCCTTGGGCTTGGAATAATAAAGGCTTTGCCTATAGCAGAGCTCTAGGGTGGGTAATTATTTATATGAGAGTGGTATCTCAAGTCCCCAGAGGGCAGGTCCCTTTGTGCTAGGCACTGAGCAAACACCGAGAGAGGGGCCAACCCTGTCCTAAGGAATTTGTGGTCTAAATAGACAAGCGGGCTGAGGGCTGAGCGCATGAGAGGGGGAAACAGATGTGGCCAAACAGGTGAAATTACTCGCCCTGAGGTCACACTGTAGATTAACACAGATGTCAGGCACAGTATCTTGAATCCCAACACAGTCCCCTAGCTAGGAGCCCATGCTCTTCCTCACCAACTAAACCTCCTCCCTTGCATATATCCTCCCCCACCTCCCATGAATCTTTCTTTTTGCAAACTTGCACAGTTGTCTGCCTCTGCTGTGGGCTGAGGCAGGGTGAGTTTTCATTACCACCTTCAGCTGGGCAGCCTCATGTTTTGCCTTGTCTCCTATTCATGGGCTTCCTTCCATATCTGGCATACCATTTGGCATTCCCCTGGTAGGCTGGGGGAGCTGAGTCAGCTACCATTTTTAGATGACTTTCTTTTTACCTGACCTTTATTTTTTTCAGGCAGGGATGAGAGTCCAGGTCTAACTTACACCAGCCTTGAAATACAAACTGCTATTGAGCTGCTCTAAGAAAGAGACTTCTTCTGCAGCCTCACATGCTTTTGTTTTAACACAGTTCTCAAAAATGGGGTAGAAAATTATTAAGTCAAGGCTTGGCCTGCCTTACAGCTTCCTTCCCCTTCAAGCTATTTACAAACACCTCCTATCCCAGCAGAAACAAACACTCACAGCATGCTGGTCCAGCGTTTAACTGTTCAGCTCATCTTCCTGCTGCTGCTGGTCCACAGTGCTCTGCAGAAGAAAGATGGTGAGACACCAGCTTCCAAGAGAAATCATTGAGGTATGAAGCCCCAGCAGGGAAGACAATTCCAAACCCGTCCTCCAAGCAGAGAGGTCTGACCTGTCTCTGGTGAGCACTTGAGGGTGGCTGGCTCCAGGCAGCTACGTGGCAAATTTGGATGGCTTATTTTATAACATCCTTTTCAACTGGGAAAATGGATGATCATCTTTTTCTTAGGGTGGGGCAGATTATCAGATTTGAAGTAGCAGGTCTTAGAGGTGTGTACTGAAGCGATCAGCTGGACCCAGGTGAGGAATCACTGACCTCACAACTTGCTTGAAAACAAGTTCACAACTAGCCTTGAAAACCTGTAAATCACCGTTATTCCAAGGATTCTGATAACAGTAACTTTCAGATGGTTACAGACCAACTGACAAGAAAGGGAAGTTGTTTCGCATTAAATGTTTGCTATGCCAGACTGTTATCACCAAGACTAGCTGCCAAATACAGAATGGAGGTATGGTCTTGGGAACAAACAGGTAGTAATGGACACATTTTTTGGCTAACACAATGATCCCAGAAATGAACAGACCTGGCTGCTTTTAGCCAGGCTGTATGACAACCTTTCTCTCCAAAGTCATCCCAGCTGATAAAGTTCTGATTTTTTATTTCTCTAGTAAAGAATCAGCAGAAGGTTTTACAGTCCTGCATTGCAAATAAAGCATCTGTACACTGTACAGTGGGCTGAGAGAAAGAAAGAAAAGTCAGCAGCTTTCTTGTGTGTATCAAGTGTCTGGATTTTAGAATAACCAGAAGACATGGTACTCTTGTCCTGTATTTTATTAGGAAATTAACAGGCTGATTGATAACCTGAAATTACATAGTGAATCTCATTTAAAAAAATGTTCAAAATCATGAGAATAATTTTGATTTCTATGAAAACATAATGCCCGGATACAATTCCTCTTTATGCCTGTAAATTTCCAAACCCTTAACATTTATCTACTGAACAACTGTGAGGCTGGATAACTGTAACAGAATCTGTAAAGTTAAATACAGGATACTTTCTCTGCAGTCCAAGTGAAAGAGATGAAATGTTGAAAAGAAAGCCCAGAATGTGAGCAGCACTATGAGAAGGTTCCCCGTGATCTCATTCATTATGTGTCAGTATTTCAGATTGCTCAAAGATATCACAGACTGGTAATGTTAACTGCTGTTCCAAGTTATGAGGCTTTAGGGCAGATGGAGAGGGGGAGAGACACCACTGTGGGGTACAGGCTCTACAGTGAGAGAAACAGGGTGCACTGGATGTGTATGATGCTCAAAGTATGAGAGCTGGTAAATCTGTCTACATTTCTCCCTTTTTGCCAGCAGTACAAGCTACCACCACCACCACATTGGACTAAACAGCTTTTCTTGACACTCTTGTCAGCTTTAAATGCTTCATGTTCAAAGAAGGGCTGATATGATTCAGGTGCTGACTATCTGCAAGGGCTGAATTTCAACCTTAGTAATCACAGACCAACTCCTGCTCACATTGTGTATGTGAAAAGTCACCCTGAGCCAACACTGTTGGTTTCACTGCAGCTAAATGAAATGTTGGTTTTGTTGCACATGGGCTAATGTGGTTCAGCCCCACGGGTTGGTTCTCTAAATAAAGAGCTGGCACTTTTCAATATCAAATGACTCTTGTGGGGAGTTGGATTTCTCAAGACATTATTCCAGAAACCATTCAAATTGTCATATATTTTGTGTGGAGGAGAGATGCTTCCCTGAACTGGGGCCTCGATTCCTGAGAGGATTATGGATGTTCTGTAAGTGGCCAGCTCAAGCACTTGACCAGCGAAGTCCAGTCACTTCAGCCTCTTGTATTATTCTTGGCCTCTGTAAGTTAAAAACCAGTAGATTTAAGAAGTAGCAGGCCTTCTTTTTAAAATGCTATGTCAGGACAAGTACATTCAGACCACGGTGTTCTTTTATTTATATATAAATTCTTTGGCAACAATTTTCTAGAAAGCAGAATAATTTTTTGCTATGTAATACTTTATTGTCTCCCCATGAAAAAATGATATCTTAGAAAATCTATATCACTTTCCACTATAAATAGTGTTGTTCCAGATTAAGGATTAGTTCCTCCCTGAAGAAAAACAGATTTTAAAAATCTGGTCATTATCTCATAACTGTTTATGTAGTAACATTAAAATAAAACAGAAAAAGAAAATCATTCAGTATGTGGTTTGTTATTGTCTAGAATGTTAGTGTATGTTTATACAATAAAAACAACATAAGTTATCCTAGTTTGTTTTAAAAACCTTAGTAGTAGAAATATATTGCTATCTGCAGATTCATAAACAGAATGCACTTTTTCCATCTAAGTTCAAGTATTATTAGAATATTATTATTACTATTATTATTATTATTATTGAAGGAGCTCTAAATCCTTGCCATTTTGCCTGTCTTGACATCATTTTGGTCTTTCTGAGAAATAAGAAGTTGTGATCATTTGTTCATGAACGAAATCAAGGTAGAGCTTCCAGAAATTTTGCCTGGTGGAAGACAGCCTGGCAATCCTTTGGCTACTATGAGCAACTTTAGAGGAGCATATTTGAGACTATTGGTAGAGATACAGTAGTCACGTGCTTTCTTGGTTGGCTGACAGACTTAATTTCTTCCAGGTTCTCAACAGTCAGTCCCATTTAAAGGAGAAAGGCAGGAAGAACCCAGCCCAGACTTATACCACATCAGGATATGTCATCTTCGTTTCTTCTTGGTACTGTCAGTTGCTCATAGGTCGGCAGAGTGTTGTTTGGGAGGAAAAGATCCGAGTTGACATTGTTGCCTCTCTGAGATGATCTGTTGTTCCCTTGATCCCCCTGCTGACGGGAAACCAGATGATGCAGCATATCCGTAATGAGGTTCAGTTTCTGGTCCATTTGTGTAACCTACAAAGGTAAAGGGGAGCTTTGTTTAGTAGCAGCATGTGAGAAAATTGCAACAAACCAGGTGATGCACATGCAATAATAAAATGAAAGTTTTCTTAATTAAGATCACAATAACCTCTAGGAAGATACCACAGATTCATAGTTCATCAGATAATTAGAAATTTAATGCAATAGGTCAGAGTTGGATGAGGACAGCCTTGTTAATACTCACCTCTGGTATGTGCTTTGACACTCATTTTATACCTGGATGAACACATGACAAATGGGCTTTAAAGAGATGTGCTGCAATAGAGAGAGCTAAGTCCCAGAACTGAGTTTCTGTGGGTTTTTTTGTTTGTTTTTGTTTTTGTTATTAGTGTCTATATTTTTTTTTGAAAACATGACAAACTTCTAAGCACGCTCATATGCCTTAATTTTATCAATATGCTCTAGTAAATAACTGCTTGACTTGCAGTGATGAAATCAACTCTAAGCTAGGACTGACTGATGCTCTTTGATACATTTGGGCCCAATTACCAGCTCAGGCCACAAGATGCCCATAGGTATTTTTGCTGCTGTGAGCATATGGCAGCTGCGGTCTCTGGCAAGGGCTGGGAGTGGGGCATGATTCAGTTTTATGCTCTCACTGTGTCATGATCAATGACATGATCCCCATCAAGACAGAAACTAAGAATTCTAAGATGGTGTAGTGGGTTGACCCTGGCCAGATACCAGGTACCCACTAAAGCCACTCTCTCACTCTCCCTGTGCAAGTGGACAGAGGAGAGGGAAAAAAACCAGCTAAGAATTCATGAGTAGAGTAAAGAGCTGGGAGAGGTCAGTGACTGATTACCTTCACAGGCAAAACAAGACTTAAAGTGGGGATAGTACATATATTTATTACTAACAGGATAAGAAGCAAAGAGTGAGAAATAAAACAGTCTTAAAAAACACCTTCCCCCCATCCCTCCTTCCTTCAGTGTTCTCCCTCCTCCCCCCAAGCAGTGCAGGGGGACGGGAATGGGGGTTACAGTCAGTTGTTGTTTCTGCCGCTGCTCAGGGAGAGGAGTCCTTCCCCTACTCCAGTGGGGTCCTTCCCACAGGAGACAGTCCTTGATGGACCTCTCCAGCGTGAGTCCATCCCTTGGGCAGCAGCTCTTCCCAAACTGCTGTCCCATGGGTCACTCCTCCATGGAGTGCAGTCCTTAATGAATGAGCTGTACTGACGTGGGTCCCCCACAGGGGCCACCAGTCCTACCCGGGAAAAACCTCCTCCAGCGTGGGCTTCCCTCTCCACGGGCTGCAGGTCTCCAGCAGGACCCCGCTCCATCCTGGGCCTCCCATGGGTTCACAGCTTCCTTCATGCATCCACCTGCCCCAGCATGGGCTTTTCCATGGGCTGCAAGTGGGTCTCTGCACCCCGATGATCCTCCATGGGCTGCAGGGGCACAGCTGCTCCATCATGGTCTGCACCACGGGCTGCAGGGGCCTCAGCTCCGGCACCTGGAGCACCTCCTGCCCCTCCTTCTGCACTGACCTTGGTGTCTACCTTGTTATTCCCATGTTCTCACTCAGCTCTTCCCTGGCTGCAATTTCTTCTGCGCAACAATCTTCTGTTTTTAAATATGTTATCACAGAGGCGTTACTATTGCTCCTAATTGGCTTGGCCTTGGCCAGCGGCAGGAAGTCTGTCCTGGAGCCGGCTGGCATTGGCTCCACGGGACAGAGGAAGCTTCTGGCAGCTTCTAACAGAAGCCACCCCTGTAGCCCCCTCCCGCTACCAAAATCCAGCCACAGAAACCCACTACAGATGGCTGAAAACTAATTTCTTAACTAGGTGACTCCAGGTGTTCAGCCTGAATCCATAATGCTCATTTTCTTCTGCCTTAGACAGAATCTCCTTAAATTATTTAATGCCTCTTTTTTTTTGTTTGTTTTTTCTGCTCTTTCTTCTAATCTTTAGAAGAAAATGTAATGAAAAATCAGATACCTAAGAGAAGTTAGGTTGTGGATGCTATTGGGCGTACATTTGTGTTATTCAGAGGAAAACCGAGAATTAAATATTTCTACACAGATTCAGTCTCTGGTTTCTTGCATCTTCCAGTCAAGAAGTAACCTGCATCATCCTTTTATCTGGCATGGGAAGCCTCCTCTCTGTGCAGACTCCAGGGTACTGAGCAAGATATCCCAAGGGGAAGATGGGCACTTCCAGCTTCAAAGTCCTGCTCACTCTCTGATCCTTGGCATGGCAAAAGCATTGAAACTGGGCAGTAAGATCCTGCCTTATGGCCTCCCACTCCCTTCTGCAAGCCTAATGAGAAAGCCTCGATTTTGCCATTGCAGTCTCTGACCCATTGATCCACAGGGATTCTAAAACTTAGAGTAAATTCTAGGTAAAAAGATTTAGTACATTTTAAAAAGGGAAAAGAACACAAACAGAAAAAAAAGTGATAGGAATAAATTGTTGCCTAAAATATCTGCTAGAAAGTAGTGAAAGGCACATAAAACCACCAGAGAGAGCACGAGTGGGAGCAATTTATATGTGCCTGGCTGTCATCCAAGTATCACACAGGATAACAAAAGACAGTAAGGCTGAGCAGAACATCAACAAACCTGTAGGATTTCAGCAGAGACTAAAATGTTTTTCTACCATAGAGAAAATGCTAGGGTTTTTTTGAGCACTTTGTACAACTGCTGGAGAAGCAGATCCAGTGATTTAGAAATATGAGGTGCCAGAGATTTATACTTTGCAGCTGGTTTTGAAAACATTAGGCAAAGCACCCTAGATGGTACATGAAACACTAGTAATTTTGGATGGAAATGGCTGTTGAAAGATGAGATTCTATGAAATGAGGAAGCTGAAGAACTCATAAGTTCAAGATTTCTAGAAGGAAATACAGATGGAAAACTGAGTAGATCATCAGGTTTTAATTTCAACACTATTTGTTTACTCCCTTAAAAAAAGAGACATTTTGCCCAAATGGTGCCCATCACAGACGGTAAACTCGTAATGGTCCAAGTGTGACAGTACAAATCAGTGGTAGTGAAGTTTGCAAAAATACCTCATCTCTGCATCCCCCACTGCCCAGGTATCATTTGTGATCTGAGACAGCTGTGCTGGAAGAACTGCAGTGAAAGCCTGCAGACAAACAGCTATCTTCAGAATCTGAAGGACAAGTTTTTCTTCTGCAAGGAATGTCTTTTTGCCAATTATTCTAAACAAACTAGGGGATTTTTATATGTATATATTTCTTAATTTGTGATTCCAGGCTGGGATTACCAGAGGAAACACTGGAGATATATCTGGAAAATGTGCATTTATGAAACTCTTGCAGTGATGAGCTATTGAACATGACAGTAGGTTGGACTGAGATCTGGATAGTCCTTCAACAGCTGTGCATCTTGGTGATGAAGTACTGGAGAGAAGTGAGAAGTGAAAATTCTTGCTGGGAAATAAATTCCCAGAGATTATTGTCTAATTTTTTCTAGGGAACAAGGTCTGGCTGCTGCAGCTGTGGAGTGCAGGAGGCTCACAGAAGCAGAGGCAGAAGCTAATTGCTCTTGAGCTGAGCCATATGAGACTAAAAGTAAAGACCTTCGTCTTCCATTTTCCTGCTTGTTGGGGTAGGGCTCTAAAGCCACAAGGCTTTTGTGGAGGGAGGTCCAGAAAGCTGGTTGTGTTTAATTGTTGTTTAATCAGTTTTTGCTTTCCAACAGAGCAAGTCATATCCCTGGGGGTTCTGTGCAGTGAAGGGCTTGCTCCAAGCCACGCTGAAGTCAGTGGTAGTTTTTGGCAATCACTGGGCTCTGTATCAGTCTTGGACCAATTCACCAGTCCAAAATAGTAACATATTCTTTGGATATTACAAGAGAAGGATCAGTCTGGATTTCTGTACATTGATCTCCTTATGCTTCTTTGGGCCGCATCAGAAAAGATGACATTTGCAAATGAGGCAGCAGTGGGATGACAGGCTCCCATCCTCGGTTCTGCCAAAGGAGCACCTGCTTAAAGTATGAGATATTTTAAAAAGAGAAGTAAAAGCCACCAGAAGGCAACTTCTACTGTCATCACAGGCCTCTGATGTACAAGAATAAGAGGCTTCCTGGTGAACAGCCTTGCTTATTAGCATGCCCAATCTGCCTGTAGTCATCCAAACACACATCCTGAAATGTATCATTCACTTGTTTGCTGCAGAGAGAATTATACCCACTAGAAAAATGTCAGTATGTGCAATACCCTTTTATTAAACTAGCTTTATGTACTTAGCACAAAGAAGTGTATCATCTCCCCTGAATCATGCTTTCAAACATATTTACTTGATTAGAAACTAGCTATAATGCCAGAACGAATAAAAGTAAAGAAAACAGAAAAACTGCTGATGTTGCTCTAATCTTAACTGCTTTGAACAACTCTGATCTCTGTACTTAAAACAGCAAACATTGTTAATTACATAGAAAAATGACTTAGACTGATTTGTTTCCTTTAGGAAAAACTAAGTAAGCTCTTTGTAGATGATTTATGTTTCATTAGAAGCATGATGTTTGGATGATCAAATTCTTTATATGCAAATAATTTCCTTTGTATTTCACAGTTGTTGGGGAGAGGAAGCAGTGTTTGAAACTTCAGAAATTACACACCACAGTTATTCCTAAGTCTTACCAAAATATTGTATGAATACAAGATTTTTCCATCCTCTGAGATAAGTAGTTTTGTTTTTTAAAAAAAAAGATCCAAGGATCATAGATTGAGCACAGATGGGGAGAAGCAGATTTAAACAAGTTTTGAATCTAGCTCTTGGAAACAAATAAAATCCCATCCATGCAGTGCACTGAGAAAAAAAACCAAACAAACCAACAACCAACTGAATCTGAATCAAATAGCTCTTCACAAAGACTGAAAGGTTAGCACTCAAATCTTAAATGACACATACTGAAGAAATGTAGCTTTGTCACAGATCAGATTTTTCCTCTCCCTGAAATGCCAGAGAGGCACGTGACTACTCTGACACCACGGACAATAC